CCAGCTCTTCAGTGGGCCACACGCAGGGCCTCGGTACTCTCTGTTATCAATCTGTGTAGTGCTTGACTGGGCAGAATATCTGCAACCAGAAAGTCTGAACTTCGCTCTAGAAGCCCCTCCCCTATAAAACACATAGCAGGAAATGAAGAATTAGGAATTTCAGATCACTTCAATTAGTAAATGCAGTCAATGCATTTGCTGATTGTGGCCACCCATGTCTCCTCATATACAAAACGTGATGACAATGGTATCCCAGCTCTTAGACTTTCTTAAAACCTGAGTGCATATGTATATGCATCCTGTTTTCTATTGCAACACTAGGTAGGTAACCTGTCCAAGGCGATGCTCAAGTATTAGAAAGTCTTGCCTTCCATACTGCCCCAGTTAAGATGACATCTATACCCAGAAATTTCTCATGCGTACAGTAGAAAAAATATTAACTATTATTGTTAAAAACATTAATGTCAGCACAGTTGCCACATGCTACTTTCTATAATTAATATGGGGAAGTATACTGTCAGTCCTTACATATATACTTAAAGCTTGCCACAAAGTTCAGGGAGATATAAATACTACTATTTCCCCAGTAAATCTATTTTGTAAGTCATTAATTCAAATGTATTACAAAAGGTTTGCAGTTTGGTACCCATTACTGCTTCAATGTAGATTCAAAAGCAATAAAAAATCAATAAAAATTGAACTACAGTATTACTTTTCTTCTTCACTGTTCAGTGTCCTCCCAGGGACATCAAAATGCATAGCATTTGAGGCTGTCTGGACATAGCCAAGATACATGTCTAGCTTCTGCTCCCATGAACTCTGTCTGCAGCTCTGCCGTGGCCTGGTCATTCCTTACCTTTACGTATTTCATTCTATTCATCCTGAAAGGCATCTCTCTAGGAAATCTCTTTCTCTATTTTTTTTTTTTTTTGTGTGTGTGTGTGTGTGTGTGTGTCATGTATTTCCTCAGCTGGTGGGCCCATCAGCAGATTGCTCTATCATGCCTCTTGGTATAGTTTGTCTGACACGTAAATGGCACTGTCTGCCTGCCTAAGAGCTTTCCTGTGGCCCCCAGCTTCTTTCTCATAGTCTTTTCTCATCTGCATCAATATCCTCAAAGTTGTGTTTCCCCAGGTAGTTCCTTGAGAAAGTATC